ATTAACCCAGGGGTCACCAACTGTTGGCAAAGTGAGGGCTGGAGTTTGGGGGAAGAAGATAAAAGTTCCAAGAATAGCTGCCATAGGATGAAAAAAACACACAGCAGAAACACACTAAGGGATGTCACAACACTAGTTGAACGAGATGATTGCTGAAGGAAGAATAGAGAACACAGACGGAACACGAGCTGGAAGTTTTACTCTTAAGCAGGGAATCAGATCCAGCACAGAGTCCGGGCTCTGGAGGATGAGGTCTGGGAGAGGTAAACGGGCCATTTAAAGCCAAACACCTGTGCAACTGTCTCATTTGGGCAGCAGTTCTCAACCTGTGGGTCGCGACCCTTTTGGGGGTCAAACGACCCTTTCAAAGGGGTCGCCTAAGACCATCAGAAAACACATATTTCCGACGGTTTTAGGAACTGAGAAGCCGCTCCTCTATCCACCTCCAGGCGGGTCCGCCCTCTCGCAGATGCGCCCACACACAACAGGAGGAACTGTATTAAAGGGCATCAGGAAGGTTGAGAACCACTGCATTAGGGGAACCACACTTCGTGTGGCTGGTTGCGTGGTGATACGTGAGTCTTTTGGTTGGGGAACGCTGGGCTGGCTGTAGATCCGCTGAGAATGGGGGGCCCCCTCAGACGATGGCAGCCAGCTGCCTCTGCTTCACCGGCAGGTGCCTGAGTCGGCTGCGCGGCCAGGACAGGGCCTGCCCGGGAATCTCCTATCACGCTCACTGCATCCCTCTCTCTCCAAAGCACAGGTGAAGAAATGGTTTAGAAAAGTCCAGTGACTTGACTAAAGCCATAGAACCTTGACTGGAGCGCCCCACACCCCTAGCCCCGACACACACACACACACACACACACATTTGGCTTGCAGAGTACATGAAGTTTTCACTCCAGCCCTAAGCTCAGTGCTTTGACCTGGCCTAGAGCACTGGCCCTCCTGGGAGAGGCATTGCAGTCCACAGACTGGACTGACTAAGGCACTAACTACAGACACATATCTGCTCTAACATTTGTGGGGGAATGGGGTGATGACAAAATTGAAATGATAACGGAAACGTTACACACAGGATCGATAGTTCCCCAAATCTGTTGGCATCTGTAGGATTCGTACATGTGACCCCATGACCCAGTGGGGGGAAATGTGCCATGATTAAATATGTTTGAGAAACTCTGGAGTACATCATTGTAAACAGGTTTATTTACCATGGGCTTTCTCAGAACTTTTAATATGCGTTCATATGCTGCAAATATCTAAAAGGCAAATGTAGGAAATGGTGTTCCAAATGTATCCGACTATGGAGCACCCCCCACCCCCCATACATATATTTTCAGGTGCACTCATGGGAGCATCATTCGATGAAACATTTGGAAAAACACTGGCCTTGCCCTGGCTGGTTTGGCTCAGCAGTTAGATCGTCAGCCCATGGACCAAAGAGTCGGGTTGGATTCCAGTCAAGGGCACGTACGTCAGTTGTGGTTCGGTCCCTGGCCCTGGTGAGCATCATGTGGGATGAGGCCAGTCAATGTGTCTCTCTCACATCAATGTTTCTCTCTCTCACTCTGTCCGAAGATAAATGTAAAAATATCCTCAGGTGAGGATTTAAAAATAAAACAAAACAAAACAAAAAAAATCCACTGGCCTAAAACACTGAAATTCCAGCAAGACTAACACCGTTTTCTGTATTTCATCTTGTGTAGAAGAGATTGCAAAAACGTCCTTATGACAGGAGTTTTGTAGGTGAGACCTCAAGAGAGAAAACAGATTTCCATGCTCTGGCCATTCTATACTTGACCAATGCAGTTACAGATAAGTGACAACCTGAAGCAAACGAGATTGAAGCCACAATGTATTAATCAAGGGAAATTAGCCACCGAGAACACTCAGTGCATCACAAGGAGCGATGAGGATTAGGAAGCTGTGAAAACATCTGCCAAAGTCTGTGTCTGAAGAGCCATGTCTCATGTTTCCAGCTTCCTTGGAAAGCTTAGGTGAGTTTTCCAAGCACAGATCTGTTACTACATTGACCATTCGGTCGGCGTACCTGGTCAAACAAAGCCCTAGCTCATCTGTGCTCTCTGCAGATACTGAGCTCTCTAATTCAAGAGCTAAATGAAAGAAGCAACAGGGCCAGGAGGGGCCCTGGTGACAGACAGTGTGACCATAGATGCTTCTGCCTCTTAGGTCTTGGGTCAACTTTTGGTAACGGGAACAGAGTTTCTCCTTTGAGTCCCAGATCTGCCTGTACAATCCTGCACACATTTTGCTCCTGGGACTCCTGAAACTCATCCTGGGCCAGCATCTCATTGTCCATTTGTAGTTGTTACCATTCTTCCCACAAGTCTTAGCTCCCCTTTATATGTTCACACCATCAGCTTTCAATACCAAGTTTATTTCAGTGATCTTTCCTCAGACCTCCTCTTATTTTTGCTTGTTTCACCCACTTTCACAATTCATTGAGTTCTTCTTGTCCGTTGTCTTACATTTATTTATTTATTTATTTTTAACTTTTCCCCCCCTATATTGATTTTAGAGAGAGAGGAAGTGAGAGGGAGAGAGAGTTAGAAACATCAATGAGAGAAAATATTGATTGACTGCCTCCTGCATGTCCCCCACTGGGGATCGAGCCCACAACCCAGCATGTGCCCTGACCGGGAATTGAACCACCAACCTCTTGGTGCATGGGTCAACGCTCAACCACTGAGCCACACTGGCTGGATCATTGTCTTACATTTAAAATACCACTATAGAGTACCACTATTTACTGTCTATTTGGAGGATTAAGTCAGCTTGGCCACAGTTTCCTGGAGTGTGTGACTGAGTCTGTTTACCAGTGAACTAGATCCCTGCTACCTGCTTCAGCTTCCCAGATAGATGAGAACAAGTATATACAAATTCTGATTTACAAAAAGAAGATAAGCAATTAATCAGATGCAGAGTTCAGAAAACAGGTTATAAGGTTGCTCAAGAAACTTGGTGAGACATTCAAGGGACTTAGTGAGACCTTCAAAAAACTTCAGACCTTCAAGGAACTTAGTGAGAACATCAACAACATTAAAAAGGACCAGTCAGAAATGAAGGATGCACTAACTGAAACAAAGAATAATTTACAGGGAATCAATAGTAGAGTAGGTAAAGCCAAGAAACAAACCATCGATTTGGAATACAAGGAAGCAAAAAACACCTAATCAGTACAGCAGAAAGAAAAAAAATCCAAAAAAATGAGGATAGTGTAAGGAGCCTCTGGGACCTCTTTAAGTGTGCAACATTCACATCATAGGGGTGCCAGAAGGAGAAGAGAGAGAACAAGAAATTGAAAAGCTATTTGAAATAATAATGACAGAAAATTTCCCTAACTTGGTAAAGGGAAAAGACATACAAGTCCAAGAAGCAGAGAGTCCCAAACAAGATGAACCCAAAAAGGTCCACACCAAGACACATCATCATCATAATGCCAAAGGTAAAAGACAAGGAAAGAATCTTAAAAGCAGCAAGAGAAAAGCAGTTTGTTATCTACAAAGGAGCTCCTATAAGACGGTCAGTCAATTTCTCAAAAGAAACTTTGCAGGCCAGAAAAGAGTGGCAAGAGATATTTAAGGTGATGAAAAGCAACGACTTACAACCAAGACTACCCTATCCTGCAAAGCTATCATTTAGAATCGATGGACATATCAAGTGTTTCCCAGAAGAGAAAAAGCTAAAGGAGTTCATCACCACCAAACCAATATTTTGAGAAATGTTGAAGGGTCTTCTTGAAGGAGAAGAAGAACAAAAATATGAACAATAAAATGGCAATTAACATATATCTATCAACAATTGAATCTACAAACAAAATGAGCAAGCAGAACAGAAACAGACTCATAGATACAGAGAACTTTTTGTTGCTTGCCAGATGGGCGGGAGTTGGAGGGATGGGTGAAAAAGATGAAGAAATTAAGAAGTACAAATTGGTTGTTAGACTAATGAACCTCCAAGGGAAGCGGGGAGGGAGGGCGGGATGAGATAAACCAAAGAACTTCTATGCATATATGCACAACCAATGGACATTGACAACAGTGTGGGGAAGGCAGAAGTGGGGTGGGATTGGGGAGAAGGGGGGTCAATGGGGAAAAAAGGGAGTACATCTCTAATACATTCAAGAATAAAGATAAGTCAAAAATAAAAGTAAAAATAAAATACCACTATATATTATTAATTCCCCCTACCTTTGCACGTCAGCTATTATAAGCTACCCTTCTCACCTGACAGTCTTCTTCACTTTCCAATTGCTTCTGTTATATTTGGGGAATTTTCTAATTCATATTTCAGATTTTATCTATCTAGATACAACACCTCCATCCTGCAAATGTGTCATAAGTGAGGTTTTTAATGTATAAAATATGCCTGTATTAAGTTGATTATAAACTGCTGGCCGGTTTGGCTCAGCAGTTAAAGCACTGGCCTATGGACCAATGAGTCTTGGGTTCAATTCTAGTCAAGAGCACATACCTTGGTTGCAGTTCGTCCCTGGTCCTGGTCAGGGCCATGCAGGGGGCAACCAGTTGATGTGTCCCTCTCACATTGATGTTTCTCTCTCTCCCTCACTTTCCCTCCCTCCCACTCTATCTGATGATAAATAAAAAAATATCCTCAGGTGAGGATTAAAAAACAAACAAACAAAACAAGGCAGTGTAGTGGGGCAATTAAAGGCCCAATTGTTGGGAAGCCTGTCAGGGAGTGAAGAGCTTACTAGCTGTGACTCTGACAAGTACCCAGTCTTTCTGAACCAAATTTCCCTACAAACCGGGGAAAATATACCACCTATCTCAGTCGGTTCTTATTAGGATGGCTTGAATGAACACATATAAATGGCCTACAACAGCACCTAAAACATAGTAAATGCCATATAAGTATTAGCTATTATTATTTCTCCCATTTACGATAACAAAAGCCTCTTCAAATAAAGTGTGGAGGTTTTTTTTAAAAAGTTTCTTTCTGTCTGTCTTTTTAAGGCCCAGATTATAAAAAGGACCACCTCCCGCACATTCAGCAGCACACCTCGTATGTAGGAGAGAAGCCTCGGGCTTGGGAGCAAACTGGAGATGTCGGCTATTTGTGGAGGCCTGCCTCGCAGGGAAGCCTGCCGGCCCGGCACAGGCACGCGTACGTGGGTGAAGTCGGCTGGGGAATCCCGGAGTGTGATTTTATCAACAAAACACGGCGTGAGAGCGGCTTTCACATCCAGGTACGGCCCTGGGTCCGTGTTCTTCAGAGCGCACTGCCGCCGGATTGGCATTCCTCCCGTTCGCTCCCCCAGGGCGCACCCCGTCTGGCGGCCTGGAGGAGTAACGGCCTCGGGTTGCGCGGAGAAGTAGACGTGTGCAGAAATGTACCTGCTACCACCCTTCCTGTGAGCCCCTTGACGCGTGACAGGGGAGGTGGGAAGAAAATGAAGCCGCGGGGAGCGCAAAAGCCTTGCTGTTCGACTTGGGGATGGCTCAGAGTCGCATGTGTGCGGAGACAGTCTCACCCGCCCCGGCACTGTTCCGCGAGTGGGCGGGCGGCGTCCACGGAGCCCACGATGAGTCCCAGGGCTCTGGAGTCCCCTGGGTGGCTCGTGCCTTCTGATCAGGGAATCCAGAGGGTCCTTAGAAACCTTGTCTTAGTTCTCTTGGTGATGTGGATGCAAGGATGAGCTTATGCGCTCTCCCCTGTGAAGGAAGACGGCACAGGGGATTTTAAAAGCAGAATCTGAGAAGTCAAACTTTTTTCCCAGGCCGGCCTTTGCATTCTCTGGAAATGGAGCATGTATCAATTATGCAATAACCAGATTTCCTTGGATCTTACGGCAGTATAGTACAGCATCCTAAGGAAAAGATTAACCAAAGGAAAAGCCTTTTTCTGGCCCAAGCTGTCCAGGAGTAGGGGAAAGGGATAGGGAGCTCAATCTCTCAAATCTGACAGACCTGAGTTCAAATCCTGACTCTGAGGTGTGGGTCTGGCTCCATGACCTTGGGCCGGAGGGTTCACCTCTCTGCGTCTCTGCTTCCTCCTCTTCCACACGGCAGTGTGCAGAGAGCCCACTTCATAAAACCTCTGAGTTCCTGTTCTGCTCCTGCTGCCTACTAGCTGTGAGTGCCTTAGGCAAGTTCCTTAACCTCTGTGCTTTGGTTTCTTCGTTATGAATCTTGGTATTTACCTTATGAAGCTGTTGTAAACATTAAACAAGTGAATATTTGCAAAGCAGTGGGGACAGTACCTGGCACATAGCAAGCGCTCTGCGTTTACTATTATTGTGATGTTGTGAAGATTACATAGGAAAACACAAAGGAAGACCTAGCGTGATGTGTCTCACGTGGTTCATATCACAGTACAGCTCCTAGCACTGAGGTTGTCAGTTGTTAGCACTGTGGTTACTGTGGTTACTGTGGTGAATGTAACTTAGTGCCAGTGAGATGGAATGGATGCTCAGGTTCTTCAGTGTCCTGTTCCACATAGGCAATAAAGAGGAGGAGGAGAAATTAAAAACAAAAAAAAGGCCCTGGCCGGTTTGGCTCAGCGGTTAGAGCGTTGGCCTGTGGTCCCGAGAGACCCGGGTTCGGTTCCTGCTAAGGGCGCGTGCCTCGGTTGCAGTTTGTCCCTGGCCCTGGTTGGTCGTGCGGGTGGCAGCCACTCGATGTGTCCCTTCACGTCAATGTTTCTCTCTCTCTCTGTTCCTCTCTCTCCCTCCCACTCCATCTGAACAAAAAATGGAAAAATGTCCTCGGGTGAGGGAAAAAAAAATGTTCTTTATTGATTTTAGAGAGAGAGGAAGGGAGAGGTAGAGAGAGAGAGAAACATGGATGAGAGAAAACAATGTTGGCCGCCTCCTGCATGCCCCCCATTGGGGATCGGGCCCACAACCTGGGCAGGTCCCCTGACCAGGAATTGAACTTGCGACCTCTTGGTGCATGGGTCGACGCTCAACCACTGAGCCACACGGGCCAGGCGAAGATGAGAAATTTTATTAAATATCAAAAGTGGCCACCAGCAAAGAGAGTACAGCCCAAAGAAGGCAGCTGGTTCGAGGAGAGTCCAGAACTTCTGTGGCCTCATGGCTTCTCTTTGGTGGGTGCCCTGCTGTGGGGCACAGCCCTCCATCTGTCTGCTCATCTTGAGCGTGTATAGCTTCCCTTCCTTTTTCATCTTTAACTTAAGAACACATTTGTCGCCCTGGCTGGTTTTCTCAGTGGTTAGAGCGTCGGCCTGTGGTCCAGAGAGACCTGGGTTCGGCTCCCGCTAAGGGCACGTATCTTGGTTGCAGTTTGTCCCCGGCCCTGGTTGGGTCGTGTGAGTGGCAGCCACTTGATGTGTCCCTTTCACGTCGATGTTTCTCTCTCTCTTCCTCTCTCTCCCTCTCACTCTATCTGAACAAAAAATGAAAAAAAAAAAAAAAAAAAGAACACATTTGTCTGCTCAAATGACGTGCATTCAAGCATGCTTCGGTCTTTGAAGCAGGCTGGTAATCCACAAGAGACGTCAGCCACAACTTCACCTTCCAGGAAGGTATTTATCCCGTTTCTTTCCTTCGTATTTCACAGGTGGCTTTAAGCCACCACTCTGCTCGGCAGCCCTGCTCTCTTAACCCCAGTGGGATTGAGTGTGAGCCATACGATCTCTCTCCCAACTCGTGGCACACTCAGAAGCTGGTCTGGTTTGACACAAGCTGTAAGTGCTGTTGTTTCTCATCTCTGCATTTTCTTGGCCCTGCCATTTTGATAGTAATTGTTTCTTTCATTATTGATTTTTAGAGAGAGGAAGAGAAGAAGAGAGAGAGGGAGATTTATTTGTTGTTTCACTTATTTATGCATTCATTGGTTGATTCTTCTGTGTGCCCTGACTGGTAATCAAACCCCAAACCTTGGCGTATTAGGACTATGCTCTAACCAACTGAGCTGCCCAGCCCGGGCCTTTGTGTAACAATGTTAAACAACAGCCTAAAGAATTCCTTGGCCCTGGCCGGTTTGGCTCAGCGGTTGGAGCGTCTGCCTGCGGTCTGGAGAGACCCGGGTTCGGTTCCCGCTAAGGGCATGTACCTCGGTTGCAGTTTGTCCCCGGCCCTGGTTGGTCGTGCAGGTGGCAGCCACTCGATGTGTCTCTTTCACATCGATGTTTCCCTCTCTCTCTCTTCCTGTCTCTCCCTCCCACTCTATCTGTACAAAAAATGGAAAAATGTCCTCGGGTGAGGATAAAAAAAAAAAAAAAAAAAAGAATTCCTTGGACTTATACCTTTATAATGAGAGCAAAAAGATTCACTGAAATTGACGATACATACTAGCAAAGAACCAGATAGGATATTCTGATGTTAAGGTCTGGGCTTTGTCATGGAGGCTGCTAGTCTCCATACCCAAGACTCGGCTTCTCTGCATCCAGTCTGGCCTCAGGTTAGGATTCCTTATCAACCCAGTGCTCGGCACAGCTATTTCCCATCAGTCAGACTTGGCACGAATGGATGTTGAGCTGATACATATGCACACACTCCATGCATCAACACAAGCTCCTAATTACAAATAGTGTATAAGAGGAGCTGTTAAATTCCCTAGTGTGATGTAAGTTAAGGAAATGTCTCAGTCCACATCCTGTTCATTCTCTGGTCCTGTTGTGAGTGAACGTCCATCACACCCTCCGTTGTCCTTATCCTTGGCAGTCTCAGTCCTGACGTTTCTCTGTTTCAAACCTCAGAGACCTCTCACTGTGTCTTGCTGGAACTCTGATTTTGTGTTATTTTTTTTATTGATTTTTTTTTTTTTTTTAATCCTCACCCGAGGACATTTTTCCATTTTTTGTTCAGGTAGAGTGGGAGGGAAAGAGAGGAACAGAGAGAGAGAGAAACATCGACGTGAAAGGAACACATTGAGTGGCTGCCACTAGCACGACCAACCAGGGCCGAGGACAAACTGCAACAGAGGTACATGCCCTTAGCGGGAACCGAACCCAGGTCTCTCAGGACCGCAGGCCGACGCTCTAACCGCTGAGCCAAACCGGCCAGGGCTGATTTTTTTTTTTTTTTAGAGAGAGAGGAAGGGAAAGAGAAACATCGATATGAAAGAGAAACATCAATCAGCTGCCTCCTGCACGCCCTCTACTAGGGATCGAGCCCGCAACCCGGGAATCGAACCTGGACCTCTCAGTCCACGGGACGACACTCAGTCCACTGAGCCACCCCAACTGGGCTGGAACTCCGATTTCAAGCACAAATCTCTACCTGGTGGGTTTTTATAGCCTGCGCAGCTGCCTTCCCAATGCACTGCTCCAGGTCTGCCCTAGGCTGGCAGGTAGGGGAGCGCAGGCCCCTCCAGCAGCACAGGGTGAGAGGCCTGGGGCAGCTGCTTCCTACCTGGGATGGTCTCTCCTATTTGGGGCACCAGGAGGGGTTCTGTAGATCATCTGGATTTTGGTAGGAAAAAAGTAACTTCCAGGCTGAGTGACACATGAAAAATTTCCCCACATTGCAGAGGTCAGTAAAAATCACAGTATCGGGTTTCTCTGCTGGATCTTTTCGTGTTTAGCTATTTCCTACACACTCCTCCGTGGGTTACGATGCCATAATGATGCATGTGGATACAAGCCAGCAGAAATCACTGCTTTTGTTATTATCTCAGACTTAAGAGCACTACATTCCTTTTTTAAAAAATGGATTTGGTCTCTGCCAAACTGTATGTGTTGTTTCTGAAAGAATGTGCGGAGACCATTGAAACAATTCCTTTGGTTTCAACCTCATGCTAAATTGAGGACAATTCCGACTGCTGCTTTGCTGGGCACGTGTCCTCTTCCCTGGCGTTTCTTTCATCCAAACCTGGACTGTACCAGCCGGCTCCCTCTCATCTGTTTTCTGCTTCTGCCCTCTGACCTCGTGAGCAAATGATTTAAGCCATGTGATTTTCCCACAAAAACATTGTTATACTGGACGTCATGACTAATTCTTCATAGGTGTGAGCCCAAAGAAAGATTAAGTCAGTTAATCATAACATATATTACAACCACTGTACCTTATACAGTGTAACAATTTGAAAAATCTACAGAAGGTAAGAAGGAGAACTGTGGAAACCTATAAACATATTTATATGTAATACAGTAAAAGTAAAATCTCCAAGGCTTGGAAAGGTCTGCCTTATTTTTAAATGGGCACACGTTCCATTGTTGTGAAATACGAAGGGCTTCTTTGGGACAGTTTCAAGGACATTTGAACTGACCTCTGAGGCGACG